GTTACTAGTAGCTTCTTGTTACTACTAGTAAGGCACTTGTTACTAGTAGCGATGCACTTGTTACTAGTAGCTTCTTGTTACTACTAGTAAGGCACTTGTTACTAGTAGCGCGGCACTTGTTACTAGTAGCTTCTTGTTACTACTAGTAAGGCACTTGTTACTAGTAGCGTGGCACTTGTTACTAGTAGCTTCTTGTTACTACTAGTAAGGCACTTGTTACTAGAAGCGATGCACTTGTTCCTAGTAGCTTCTTGTTACTACTAGTAAGGCACCTGCTACTACTAGCGTGGCACTTGTTACTACTAGCTTCTTGTTACTACCCGTAGATGGACGAAATATTCAAACCCTTTCAACCACGTGGACCCCTTCTACCCCAAAGCTCAATGTTAGAGGTCTTGCAAGAATGTTTCGGCGAATGGACGAAACAAATCAAACCCTGGAAACACAAATTCAATCAAGTTATGTTCAACATTGACCTTTGGGGGTCAGGGGTTGGCGACAGTTATTGATACATGGGTTTGAATATTTGGTCCATCTACTGTCTAAAGGTGTGACGTTTGCGCATTTTTGGCTCGTAAGTATCAAGTCTAACATCTTCATCCGTAGTACTCTGTGTTTTAATCTTCTGTGCTCAACAACACTTTCACATCGACACGTTGCGAGCGAGGACAGCAGACGTCAGGAAAGCAAGCCAGATGAAGAGCAGGTCCAGCTACTGTTCTTACTGTTGCCATGTGCCGTGTCTCTTCCCAGTGCCTTTCCAGTGCCTTTTCACGGTTTGTGTGCGCCTGCCAGTGATTTTGCCATGTGGTTTACTTTTTTGCTAAAAAGAGATAGCTTATCTTTTTGTTTCAACAAAACTTACCAGAAACACTTTTTGGCTGGCAGGGCCACGAGAAAGTGCAAAAGGCACTGGAAAGGGACTGGGAACAGACACAGCACATGGCAACAGTAAGAACAGTAGCTGGAACCGCCCGGCATCACTTGAAAACAACACACGCATGTGAGGTCTCCGGTCGCCGTCCACACCCAGTACCGTAGATGGACGAAATATTCAAACCCTTTCAACCACGTGGACCCCTTCTACCCCAAAGCTCAATGTTAGAGGTCTTGCAAGAATGTTTCGGCGAATGGACGAAACAAATCAAACCCTGGAAACACAAATTCAATCAAGTTATCTTCAACATTGACCTTTGGGGGCCAGGGGTTGGCGACAGTTATTGATAGATGGGTTTGAATATTTGGTCCATCTACTGTAGTAAGGCACTTGTTACTAGTAGCGATACACTTGTTACTAGTAGCTTCTTGTTACTACTAGTGAGGCACTTGTTACTAGTAGCGATGCACTTGTTACTAGTAGCGATGCACTTGTTACTAGTAGCTTCTTGTTACTACTAGTAAGGCACTTGTTACTAGTAGCGATGCACTTGTTACTAGAAGAACTTGCTTCATTGCATTGGAGTCTCAGCTGTATTAGAAGTCAAGCAATCTTGCATATCTCCGCCAATCGTTTAGTCGCCCGCATCTTTTTGCAAGTAGCAAATTTGTGCCTGAGACAAGAGCATTGCGGGGTCCTGCCTGTGCAAATACTGCACAGCAAAGATGGCCTGCACTTGTGGCAATATATGTGAGACGAGATCTTTATGACCTTTAAACTAAACATACTCCCAAGATATCCCAAGCCATCTAAAATAGGTTCATCTTCAGATGAAGCTGCTTGGTTGCGATGTTCCAGTCCTGATTCGTCAGCCTCTTCAAGGCTGGTCTGGAACATACATAAACTGGAACAAAAACATCAAACCTACACTATACACCATCGATGAGGCTCACTTGCTGGTCGTATTCTCGGTGTCGGTAAACTTGGCAAACCTGTGCCTCATGGCAAAAGCTCTACGGTCTCCTCGTAGTTCACAGCTCGCTTGAAAGAGGTCTGAGTATTGGCCAGCATGGTGAGGAGCACTTCTTGAAATTCACTGGACCTGATTCCCGAGAGCGTCATGGATGCAAAGAGCTTGGTCGTGAAATTCATTGTCGTGTAGAAGACACGTTCATCACGATAGTCCAGGAGGCCTTGGAGTCTCATCAAGTACATGAGGCCGTAAATGCCGAAGACGAGGATGAGGACAAAGGATAGCAAAGGTCGCCCCAGAATCCGACCCTCTGGGTTTCGTCGCTGCCATCGAAGAACCCATTGGCACATGGTCCAGGAAGCCCGGAAGTACATGAGAAAGGACACAGACACCAAACAGTATCTGAGTGGCTCATTTGGAACAAAATTTGCGGTCCAAGCAAAGGTCATATAGACGTTGGTGACAATGAGTGGCTCTGCCACTTCCGGAGCTGGTCGGCCCAATGCCACCGTGCCGGCCAGAATCAGCAAGATGGGCACATTGATCAACCATTCGACAAAGAAGATGGTGTAGACTGGCTGCTGGTCTAGATCTTCTCGGCCCAAGTTCGCTGCGTGAACAAACCAGGGAGTCTTGGCCATGAAGAAGGGGAAGTTTTCCAACAAAAGCACGGCAAAGGTAGTGCACAAAAGCACGGATGGAAGCAATGACTCTTTGATGTTGGGGATCAGGTGGATGGCCTTCTTGGCTGTCCGATACATCAGAATCACGGATACCATCTCATGCAAAAAGACTGAGCCTAGGGCACACGAGATGAAGGCACTGTAAATGTTCAAGTCCTTAGCGGCTTCGTGATAGCGGGCGCAAGCCGCGGAATCCTGGCACACAACAGGCCGAACCCACACATAGCACAATGTGGTCACAAGTGCTGTGACAAGGACCCATGTGATCTTGCGCGTGGAGAGCTTCCGAAGCAAATTGCAACAGGTGTCTGGGCCACTGTCCACGCTATCCATCTCCAAGTCAGTCATGTTCAAGCGAGACCGAGAGTCGTTGGAGCCGCAGCGAATGCGCCCGTGGACCTGTGGTCGAGGTGCAGGGCTTTCCAAATCCACTGGCATTCCCAATGGCCGCTCGGGCTCTGGTACCACTGGATGTGAGCCAGGAAACATATATCCTGCCGGCCCTAGTCCCTTAGCCTTACAGCCTCAGGCTTGAACTTATATGGGCTAAGGCTCAGCGAAAATTGTTTCACAGCGAACCTCCTACATTTACAGTAGCTGAGCAATGGTCTTCCAAACTGACTGGTGGAAGCTCATCGCTCTAAAGAAGCCGAAGCTTGCTGAGGGGAAGTGTACTTGGAAAATCTTGGCGTTCGGAACCAAGGCAGGACTGGATTGAGAAGCGCATGGAAGGTCCCACTCCGTCACTCGCACCAACTCCCAACTCCCAGTTCCCAGGTCAAGCAGCAGCGCTTGATACACTTTCTGCATTTGAATCCTGCTATCACGCGCGCGAAGACAAATCACTCTGACACACCGGGCTCGAACCATTTTGGTCAATTGAACTCATGCAAGATTCATTGTCACACTACATATTCCCCATCGCATCTCTACGGATCTCTGCGAAGTGTTTTGTCTCTGCGCGGCTTTGATCGATCTTTATCACTCTTCTTGCGCCAGCCTACTCCTTCAACATCTAGGATCTATCGCATGACATCCGAGCCATCCGTCTTCACCACCTCGCCAGCTGCGGCCCCTGACCCCAAAGCTGCTCGCCGCTTCGCGCGAAGAACGCCATTCGCGCATGTGTCCTCCGCTCATCGCTGATGCCCTGCTTCTTCAAATGTTGGCGACACAGGTCGCCGTCCACCTCGCCGATGGAGCAAATGTTCTCCATGACGTTGTCTGCATGAAGCACGGCCTCGAGGGTGTGAGGACGTGACAAGGGTGCTGCTTGAGTTGCTGGAATTCTGAAGGGCAAGGTGTTTTGGGTTACCTTTCTGAAATGCCTTTCGTGGCTGAAACGGGCTTGAGAAACTTGCCCCGGATGTCTGGTTGGAGCCTTCTTACCAGGAGAAGCACCACCTCCCAAGCAATTCAATTGATTGCACATTCTAATTATACGTCAAGGGCATCCGCATCATCCCTCGACTCACCCAATATATATATATACATTTAAATACATATATAATGTCCACTCTCTTAGTTCTATCCCGGTCGGTCTGACAAACTGGAACTCACCTGCTTGGTCTGGCAAATGCACGACACCAGCAACTGAACGAACGGCTGCGCATGGTGAAACTGCGCCTCCTGGTTATCCAGCTTCTTGTGGCGCCACTGCTGCAGCACTCGGTCCAAGGCCAAAAGCTGAGTCACGTAGCGGTCAGCTTTGGCCTCCAGTGCCACGAGCTCTGGATCCTTCTCCTGCGAACTCGAACACAGGCGCGCGTCCGGTATGGAAAGTGCCTGGAATCAACACTGCTACAAAGCCGAATTTAGGTGAGTGCCGTGACACCTTCACATTTCTCTATGACATCCACCTAGGTTTGTTCTCTTCAATTGAAGTGTTTATTGAATCATCTTGAATCACTCTTCGGATTGTCTTCGGATTTTGCCCTTGCCTATGGGTAGTTAAGAATCTTCTTCAATGCCAGTTGATGACTTTACTGCATTCTCTACACCGTCGCAGCAACGAATCTGTGTTGACTTTGCTACTGCCATGTTGATTGAATTGTCAAGAGATGTTTTTGTGTTGAGATGTTGTTGACGTGTATTCGTGCGACCAGGACTACTACTTGTACATTTCCCAGGCGATACGGCGCAACCTTCTTCGCAACTTCTGTACATACATACATGTTATGTCGCGCGGAACCTATGCCCTCTGGAGCATTGTACAGTCATCACAATGGGATCTGAAGTCTTGCCTTGGACATTATATATAACATATCTGCGATGAGGTCTACAGTGAGGGCTGCAGCCAATATGGTCTGCTTGAAGTCTGCTTGCCGCCTTTGTCATGAGTGTCTAGGTGAATGCCTGCGTGTGATTTGGTCGTGTGGCTTCTGAAACGACGGCTGGTGGGTGGCTTCAACTATGCGTTGTTTGAAACCTTATAGTGGAGGGCAACGGGCTCAGCCTTCTACTGGGGTCATTCTCTGTATTCTCGTGTAGGCTGTAGGTACCCTACACTAGCTGTCAAAGTCCGCCAAAGCTGCGGTGGAGGTACCTGATGTTGGACCAGCCACTTTGCAATTTTCTCTTGCAGCCAGCAATTTAATTCATTGATTTTGGGTTGCCAGTTATAGATTAGTTTCCAAACGAAACGGATCTGGTGCGGGTTGAGTGGCTGGGATTATAGCAAGTTGTCCATGTCAAATCTTCTAAGAACAGACTATTATTGCTATTCTTCTAAGAACAAACTTTGATGATTTTGATGAGAGCGAATCTCGCCTGGACAGTACAAACAGTCAGCATAGCGATCGATGAGCTAGCTTGTGGTTGACAGAAGACATCGACATTGTCAACTCATAATCGGATTCATTCATTCATTGATCGTCGACAAAGCTGGTCAATGTTTGCGAAGTGAAGAAACGAGTTTCATGCCTGGCATGAGCGGCTGGTGAGTCAGACCTACTGAGCACTCCTCGCCCACGAGCCATGAGAGATAGCTGGAAGTTGATGGGGGCTGGCGAGCCTCGTGAGCCTCCTCGTTCTCCTGAAACATGGGTCACGACAAGTGGAAGCCTGTGGCCACCAAGCAAAAAGACAAGGGATCTGCTGCATCTATCTATCAGTGAAAATCGGTCACCTGTTGACTGCTCCTGCTCGCCCACTAGCCATGAGAGATAGCTAGAAGTTGAAGATGGCGACTGGTGAGCCTCGTCGTTCTCCTGCAAACGAGCGCGGAACAATGGTTCGAACGATCCGATCCGACCCGATTCCCGACCGAACCCACGAGACCGCACGAGACCGCATGAAACCAGGCAGACCGGAAACTCAAACGTCTTCGGTTCGGACTCCGAGTGAAAAATGAACCTCAGTTCCTCAGTTCCTCATTGATGTCACAGCCACAACGAACTCCGCGTTTTCGCTCCTGAGCCATCTGTGGCCGAATTTCAAACCTAAAATCCATAGGCCCCATGGGCTGATCCGAAGCAGCGGCCACAGAATCCGTTTCCCCCTTTTCCACCACAACGCCGTGGACATGTGCTCTGCAACGTGGAACATGTGGGGCCCGGTTCCACGGTCAATTCCAACAGGGTGTCTGTTAATGGAACAACTATGGGTAATTCCCATGCTTCGAATGCAAGAACAACCAAGTGATAAAGGCTAACGCAAGGATGCATAGCATCGTTTAGCAAGCGCCTAAACCATCGCTTAGTCACTTAAGACGCGTAAGCTTGGTGCCACACCCTGAAATCGTTGTATATATGTTTTTGATGGTTTTTGCTATATAGATTATAGAAATTTTAACATACCCGACGGGATCAACTATGACTGGGCTTCCGCGGCAGCCGCGTCAAGACCACCTCATCGAAACACCGCTGCCCGTCCTGGGAACTGTGGACCACCACCCCCGCTCCCAGCACCAGCTATGCCCTGCGGGTCTTCCAACATGCCCTGCTCGCTCCAAACACGTGTCGATGCAATTTGGAGGACCTTCTTATTGTCAAATTGATTAAAATTGCCTATGCCATGAACATCCATGAACAAAGTTTGCTTGTCAGTAAGCGCTGCTTGTCGCCATGCTACAAGTCAAGCCGTTCGTTGACTTGATTGCTAATTGTTTGGAGCACAGCGGTGTGAGGCTCCGCTTCTGTGTGTATCTGGAAAGGTCTGCCACAGGAGTTCCAGGATTTTCAACTTGTCTAGTCTTGCAGAAATGCTGGCACAGCTGCTGTATTGGTGAGCAATTTTATGGATGGCAGCTATTTGGTTCCATCTACGCCAAACACCCAACGATGGGGGCCTTGCAGCATCGTTCAAAGGTAAAACCATCTTGCCTCAGATTCCCATGGGAAGATTTACGCTTTAATGTATCTTTCATGTGTAAGTTGAAACACTTAAACTTACTGTAGAAGTACACACAAACTACACACACACACGAGCCGTGTGACTGAGGTGGGTGCTTTCGCTGCTGAGAGAAGCAAAGGCTGTTGCCTGGCAATCTCACGCTTCGTGGAGGGTCGCCCTCGCGGGGGTTGTGGTGGAAACCAGGGCTTGTGCGAATTGGAGGACGGAGGCTAAACAATGCTGGTGGAAGGCATGTGCTTCTTGGACAGGTGCTGGATGGTATTGAGCAGGTGGGGTCTTGTCGTTCAAGCTAGTTCGTAGATTACATAATTGCAAGCTATTTCCAAGCTTCTGCTGGTTGCACATCTGAAGATTTCCAGCTGCATGCCAAGCTGCATAAATGGGTTTTCTCCACCTTTTGGCTCGGAATGTCACGTCCCTCGCTGTCCCTTGCGGCCACAGAAACGGCGTGACTCGTGAGAAAAGGAGGCTGCCTAAGGCGTTTCCTTGACTCACACCTGCCAGGCCCTCACACCTCCGGGTGACTTCTTGGGCCCCCAAGGTGGGACAAATCTGAAGAGATGGTCCCTCATCATGGGAGCTTCTCTCCCACAACGAAGGGGCCAGAAACTGGGAGAGCCATACGGCCAGAGCCGTCCATCGCCGGTCTTTTTCAAAGAAGCGATGGCTAGGCGAACGGCCAGGCCTCCCTCCCACCGCTCCAAATGTTGCTCCAAACGTTAGAAGGGCGCCCGACAAGTCACTGCAAAGAAACGCACTCTTGACAGAGACAAACTTCTCGAAATCACTGTGTCCCGAAGCTGTTCACTTGTCTGGAGATGTCTGGAGCAAAGAGATATTGAAAAAGTGTGGGCTAAAGGAACTAAACTGCAGCCATACCTCCCTCCAGTCAAACTCGGACCGCAAATCCAAAACAATTTGGCAAACACATCATCACTCCACATGTGCTGTTGGGGAGGCACTTCTTCCTCAAAAGGCCTGCTTCACAATCTAGTCAAAGGAGCATGAGCATGAACAACACGGCCTCTCAACCCAAAGACACCTCCCAGTTTCCTGCTGGAGGCAAGCTTGTTATCTGAGTTTCCTCCTCCGCCACCTCAGGTGGCAGACTGGCGGCACTCAGAGCACAGAAAGCCTGCGTCGGACTTCACGAAGGCGCCGGTGATCTTCTGCCTGCCTGGATTTCTGAAGAAACACACAAAAAGCTACTAGTAGCTCTTGGCATCGCTACTAGGAATAAAAAGCTACTAGTAGCTCTTGGCATCGCTACTAGGAACAAACAGCTACTAGTAGCTCTTGGCATCGCTACTAGGAACAAAAAGCTACTAGTAGCTCTTGGCATCGCTACTAGGAACAAGAAGCTACTAGTAGCTCCTGGCATCGCTACTAGGAACAAGAAGCTACTAGTAGCTCCTG